TAGTGGACAAAAGACTTATGATGAATGTATTGATTATTTTAAATATATTAAAGAAATAGTTTCTCAAATTTCCGGTTGCGAGATGTTAAAACTTAAACCATTGAAAATTATGGAGAAGGTTGCTTTTATTGATTCATCATTATACTTTTATGTTTTTGAAAAAGAAATACTTTCAGTTACAGATGCTTATAATATACCACTAGAATTCTTTGAAATGTATTTTAGTGATAAAATGATTGATAATGAATTTGTCTATAGTCAAGTTCAAAAAATGACAGTTGAATCTATGAAACTAATGCTTAGATTTCTTAGTTATAAACGAGATATTCATGGACTTGCATCTAATTGTTACAAGTTAATGAAAACAAATGAATTTGAAGAAGAGAATGGATATAGACCTCTTTTGAGTGTTTTTTGTTCATATTGTAAATTTGAGAATATAATCAGAAAAAGGTGTATTAACTGTTTAAAGACAATTGATAAAAGAGTTATAGAATTAGAGTGTATTAATTATTTACGATATTGTTATAAACAGCATTTTAATGGTGATAGACGTTGTAATAGATGTGATAGTTATGAAGTAAGAAAGTTAAAAGAGTATTGCAGTTGTGGTGGTAAATATGTATTAAAGGATTTTACAGAAGAAATTAATGATTTAAAGGCGTTTGTTGATACAAAACGTTTTAATGAAGAAGTTAGTAAAGTGGTTGAGTTTATTGGTAATTCGGATGAATAAAAACTATTGATTAGCGTAGATCATCCTAACTTTTCTCCTTAATATTTCCTTAGTTGATGATCTTTTTTATTTTTTACCCTTCTTTTTGTTTTTAAAAGTAAATTAGTTGTTGTTTAAGTATTCGCCTTTAATGTTTGATATTTATAATTAAAAACACACAATGTTCTTAATTCGGATTGATTTAATTAAATGATGATTTCGTTTATAAAACATTTAACTGATTTATGAATTAGCAAAATTGTTATAGGTTTTTATTAAAATCATAAAAACAAAATATCTCAATATAATATTTCTAATAAAAACATTTAGTTTGTTAAAAGAAGTGATTTTTTAATGATCTTTAAATGAAAATAGTTTTTTTTGAAAATAAACTTGTAAATTACTATAAAAAATAATTTTAGTAGATTTGAGAAGTTTTTTATAAAATTTTAAAAGATTGTTTAACGTGATATTAATAATTAATAATAATGATAAATGTTTTTTTTATAGAATATATAAATATTATAAAGAATTATACAAAAGTATAAAACATAATAAATTTTAAGATTAAATTCTTTAAAAACTTAATTATTCAATTTATTCATTTTAGTATCAAAAAACCTCAAAAATTTTATAAGTATCAATATTCTTAAATAAAAATAAAGGATTAACAACCAGTAAGGTTGATGACCAAGTAAATAAAAGACTTTGATCAGATATTAAAAATTTCCTAATCTTTTTTTTAGACATAAAAAAATCTATAATAAGTTACCATGAAGAAAAATATGAAAATTATTAAAATTACAGTTTATAAAATTAGAAGCAAACATACAACTAACATCCACATTAAAGAATACAAAAGAAAATAGTCTTTTATAAAACTTAATTTTATTAAAATATAAAAATAGTTATTAATAAATTTTATTCAAAGGATAACTTATCAAAAATCTTGTATTTTGAATTAAATTTGTTATTAAGTTCTTTAACTTTACTTAAGTACTCACTGCTTTTAGAAGAAAATAACTTTGCAGCTCGTGAATTTGCAGGACTTTCAGGGTTAGGATCATCTAATAATCTCAATAAACCTTTGATAATATCTAACACCGTAAGTGTTGGCTTCCACTTGTGACCAATTAAATCTAAGCATACCATTCCATCACCATAAACATTCGGATTAAACATCTTTGAATTAAATTTAACCTCAGGTGGTGTGTTTGGATATTGCTTGGGAAACTTCATTGTAAGCTTAAAAAAATAACCATCTTTAGATATTTGAACATCCCATATGTTGAAATTTAACTTTCTTGGTTTTACATAGCACCCGTACTCCAATGATCTTTGTATATTTGAAAATTCATTTTGAAGTCGTATTGATGAATTCATGGGGTTAAATTTATAATAAATTAAATAAAATATTTTTCTTAAACAAGAAAGAGTAAAAATAGAACATGCGGCCTTAAACATTTGCTAAAGCTTATGTC